TGAAAACTTATTTGCAATCGATGGGTCTTTCACCCTTTATGCAAATTAATCAAGTTTCAAACATGATTATCAAACATGGAGTCTATCTCGGATTTTTATGGCCTCTAGTCATTATTCGGAATTTGGATTTGTCGTAGCTATCTTACAAGACATTATTCTTTTACTATCTAATAGTCTATAGTATACTTGTAAGTCTTAGGTTTATTTCTAGAAATTTATAGGAATCAATCCAAGCCTTTGGTGAATTTTATACCTATATGGGGCAATTGCATCAACCACTGAGTTTCAAGGCGCTTCCAAAGCCCTTTTATTATGTTAATCTTACTCCAACAATTCTGATGTTTTGTGAGTAATGAATTCTCTTTTAAGGCACTTGTAAAGTCCTTTTGAGTATTCTTGATCAAGCATTCTCACGAAGCCCTTTTACGGTCTTCCGAGATTCTCAGTTCTAGTTTGTTGCTAAGCTCGATGGTCATCGAGTTCATTTTCCTCCCACTTATCGTTTTAGAAACGTGTTACTTTCCAGAAAGACACCACTTAGAGCAACAAACACTATGTTCTCAATTTGGTTGTGGAGGTAATGCCCATGGTCTCACTTGAATGCTTACAAAGAGACATGTATATTGTCTTTGGGTAAAAGTTCGTTGTGATGAAACAAACAGTTAGCTCCCACTTGAGCTATCTTAGCCTTTAATGAGCCATTAAGCTCCCACTCAACCACCTAGCTCTTGCTAAGCCAGTGAGCTCCCACTGAGTCACTTAGCTCCCACTGAGCCAGTGAACTCCCACTATGGCTAAGAGTTTTAGACATATATACTTGAGAAGACATTTAGAAGTTAATTCTATCCATAATTGAATATGGCGTCCTTTCTTAGCTTCGACATTTTGTTTAGTGTAACATTAGTCCTTCGTGCAAATCTTAAAAACTTTATAGGAAGGGATGTGATCCATCATTGTTCGAGTCATTTTTAAATGGCATCGAGGTCTCCGTGAAGACACACTATGTTCTTTGTGGAGTTATTTATGAATATTTCAATTTCATAACTTTGTCATGGTCACGCTTGGCTCAAGCAAACATCGCTCGATCTAATCTAGACGTTTTGATATCTTGCCAAGTCGATTATGTACTTCACTGAACTATTGAACTATTCAAGGTCAAGTTTTTTCACATTTGATAAATATATCCATATTCTTTCAAATTCTTTGTGAGAGTTGAAGTAAATGAATCCTCTTTAGCTTTCGGAGTCAATTGTCTATACCAAGAACAATAGCTCTTTACTTTGTCGGTTACAACAAGTAAGACTTGCTTGTCTTAGAACGATTCCGAATTGATCAACTATCAAGAGCCTATCTAATAGAACCTTAAGTACGTTCTTGTCGATGTGACATTGCTAAAGATGTTCGGAACGCAAATCATGCCCATGAATTTGAGCTTTTGCTAGTTTATCATGTTAAGATAATGTTTGTTTATAATCAAGCATTCTCGACTCATGGTTTAGACAACCATGCCATTCAAATAAATTTGCAACTATTTCTCATTGCTTTGAACGTGAGTCTTTCCGTGTGTAAATGGATCAATCGCTGATTATGGAACACAATAACCATTTATTTGTCCAGCCTTATCTTAAAGTCTTTAAACCAAGCATACGTCCTTACAAGTGAAGTAGCACCACTTGCTTCATTCTTAGCTTGTAAGTCAATAACTTATCTTATCTTCAATAGTTTGAGGTCACTTTCAAAGTGGAACACTCAAGCAGTATCCGATACTTGTGAAGATAACGAATTGCCAAGTTAACTACAATAATATGAACTCATGGGTTGAAATGGAATCTTATTCCTTTTCTTCGTTCCTCGTTTCCTATATTTCTTATCATACTTTATCTCATAATCTTTTAAGAACCATTTCTTTAAGAGTCTTTGACTTTTATGCTTTGTTAGGCATAATTATGCATCTAATGCGCCATAAAACAAAGTTCCATATTTTCCTTTAATTCACGCTTAAATTACTACATCAATGAGTCCTACTCATCTATGTATTAAGCGAAAAGATATGTTGGTTGTCAATATTGACAATTTGAGTTTGCAACTCAATACTTCATGTTTTATCAAAACTACCTAGTATTTGAATACATGATGTCCAACCGTCCTTTCGGACTTTGTTATAAAAGTCATTTATGAGAATTGTATAGAAATTCTTTACTTTTATTTGAGAACCATTCTCAAAGATTTCCTTTACCAATCATGGAAAGCAATACAGTTTGATTTGGAATTCTACAAATATAAGTGCAAAGTATAACCATTTATCAAGTAAATAACATAATAAGTTTGAAAATTAAAAGGTATTCATGCAAATCTTCAATCTTATTCAACGTCTTATCCACGCATTAAAATTGTCCCCATTTGGCAAGAATAAGTCGATTCCAAGATCCAAAGAAACAAAGAGTGGTTAAGCATGCTTTGGCTTGTCTTAACACTCAATCTCCTAAGGTAAGCAACGCTTTGCTAATGGCTCCAAGCCACTCTTGGTTGAATAAATCGTCGCATCTAATGCTCTCTCAACAATTTATTCACTTTGCCGTGACATGTTAGGACTCCATCACTTATATCGTTGAGTAGAACCAAAACCAACTTGCATACCTGATATGCCTTACTTCCTAGGATAGGTAGTGATGCCTCGCTTTGGCGTACCCCACCACTACCCTCGTTCGGCCGGTAAGTATTGTTTTGGAATGGCGAGTTTTTACTCAATATTAAGGGACCTAGGGTTTCTATGTTGGTTGATTTAAGTGAACTTAATTAATCATCACAACATTCGAAATCCTAAACATGCATCTAACATATAATTCATATACTTAAACATATATATAAATATATATATATATATATATATATATATATATATATATATATATATATATATATATATATATATATATATATATATATATATATATATATATATATATATATATATATATGTTTAAGCATTTGGCAACTAACATGACCCCTTGAGATCTTCAAATCTACAAAAGGTCTTCATTGCAACTTTCATGGCTACGTCTTCCAAGAACCTCCATCTTCAAGACTTGACCGTAATTAAATGCTACTACTAGTATCTACGATTAGGACTAATCTAGATATTAAGGTATAAAAAATACTTAACGGTACTGTAGGGAATATTTCAAACATTACCCCAAAATTGAACCCCACTATGATCATACATTAAAGTACGGTAGCGTCCAAAGGGAAGGAAGATAGAGCAAAAGAGTCGCCAACAAGTTTTAGGAACTTGTAAACCGTTCACAAGGTGAAGGTTACACCTCTTAACGATCCAGGAGATCGTCAACTCCAATAGGTCTGGAACCATGACTGGTAGTTCGGGGATGAAGGTACAAATCCAACCTAAAAGAGATTGAACCTGCCCTAATAATAGGCCTCTACTTTATTCTGATCGTATTCATGTGCACTTTCTAACTAACATTCAATCAATAGGATTAACCTTAAACTTGTTTATCTATGTTGGTTGAATATTAATGCACAAATAAATCTATTATTGGAGATCACTTGAATTATAATCAAATTAACCCTAAACAAGATTATTAATTATCTTATTAAACGTGATTACAAGTACCAATTCCCTTTAAACATGCATAAAAGGTGTGATCAAGCAATAACAATAAATATCAAGCAACATAATAATAATCATAACAATAATAATAATCTTCGTAAAGCATAATAGTAAGATCTAGGCATGATACTAACAAGATTAATAACTAACCCTAGCATGTCACTAAACAATAAAAATCAAAGCTTTAACCCTAACATGATACTAACATGCTTTTAGGAAAGAACATAGGAAGCATCATAACAATCATACTTGATTTAAGGAACTTATTCTTTACCCTAAACATGATATTAGGAAGATCAAAACGCCTTAAAATGACATTAGGAATCATAATAACAACCTAGACATGATTTCTATATCATAATATCAATAAAACCATTAAAGTACTTACTTGGATGCCTCGTACCTATTTCACATCTAGGGCGAAGGCAACTTCGAACTTGGCTAGGTGTGTCTAGTGCTAATGTATGAGGAATTGTGTTTGTAAAAAGCTAGGCTTAGAAAGAGAGAGAGAATCAAGAATTTCTTGATGAGAGTTGGTGAGAATTAGATGAGAAGGATTGATGGAAATTGATGATTGAAAACATAATTTTAAGAGGCTATTTATAGAGAAAATCAGTCGGATGGATAAAAAAACGAATAAGAGTTTAGACGAGAATAAAACTCGATTAGCGTCAAACGCTGGTAATTAGCGCCAGGCGTTGAAGGTTAGCGCCAGGCGCCAAGCTTTAGCGCCAGGCGCTAATGCTTGTCGTCAGGCGCTAATAATAAGTTTCACGGGTTTTTGTTTTTATCATATCTTTTGATCCGAAAGTCCAAATAAGACATATAATATGTTGTTGGAAAGCTCTTGAAGTCTACTTTCCAACTCAATTAGAATCAGATTAAAATCTTTTGTAGATAAAAAGATATGGCCGAAATAGTGGAAGAGTGTCAGTTTTGGATAGAGTTTCATATCTCATTCATCTCTTATTCGTTGTAGCTCGGATTTAATATTATAATATAACATTGGAAATATAATTTCAAGATCTATCCAACCATATGAAATTTGGATAAATATTTGAGGCACGAAAATAAAATCTGAATATATTCCACTTTGTACAAAACAAGGATTCTAAAAAGGAATAGTTTTATTCAATTTCAAACTCTTTAAAACATAATTATCAATCCTAACTCCATTAGGATTTAAAAGAACACTACTACAAAAAGAGTATTTTCTCGACGCTGAACCTTCGACGCTAGGCAAGCAGCGTCAACTATTAATTATAATGTGCATATTATCTCGACGCTTTTCTGGGTCGAAATTAATTTTCGGTGTGATAAAACGTCGAGAATCATTACACGTGCCCCACACGTGACTGCAAAAACCCTCGATTGCAAAATTTAGGGAAAATGAAACCATCGACACAACCACAAAAACAAAAACCTCTACTCACTCTTTCTCTTTCAAGACACTTATGGAACCATTGTTTTCAAACTCAGATCTTTGTTTTTCTCGGAGTAACTTCAATATGAGGAATATCATTTTGTGAATCAGATTCTTCGAATTGAGGTACATCAATTTCAATTTCAGATCTTTTCCTTCTCGGATTCAATTTCAAATTTAGGTACATCAATTTAAAATTAAGATCTTCGTCTATCGTTGAATCAATTTATAGATCATGACCCAAAATTGTAATTTGTCGTCCATCTGAGTGCGGATCAACAATTTTAAGGTGCATTCTTTCTCCTTGAATCAATTAATAGATCTTGACCCAATTTTGTTTTTTAATGTCTTTTTTTCAATAATCTCACAGATTATGTTTAGATATGGGTTAGCTTCATGAGTAATTTAGATTTTATTGTTTCTGTTATGTTTCATTTTGTGCTTCTGGTTTGAATGAGCATGATAGCATTGTTTTTCGTATCGCAATTCCACCACAATCGATTGATTTTCGTAGGAGCTGCTGTGAGTGCTGACTTTGTTTGGCTTGTTCTCCTTCGTTAGAGAAGGTTTTTAGGTGATTCTTTTTTTGAATTTGGGTGTTTTTCTGTCTACTTTCTGCCTTTAAAATTTCAGAATTTTTGGAGTTTATTTGTTATTAAAATGGCCTGTTTTGTTTGGGCTGGTCTGTTTTGGTTCGAATAGGATTATTCTTACTGTTTGGGTGAGATTTTAATAGAGTTGTTCTGTAATTTTCTCTAGGGATTGGGTGTTAGAAAATATTATTGCACTCTTTAGTCCCCTGTGTTTCTTGCTAATACTATTTTCTTGTGCGTTCATTTTTCCCTTGTATGTGATTACTATGGCAAAGGAATCGGTAAATATAAAAAACTTATGGATGATTTTCCATGAAAAATGTGAGTAACTTGATTAGAGAACAGAATTCAAGTAGGAATACTTGAGGATTGTAGCTCATATTAGTGTTCTTTATTCAAAGCATCCATCATTTTGATGTTGACTCCTAAGCAATTCTTGTTTATCGTATTCTCTTAGGTAATTGCCTAACATCTTTAAAAGGACTCAAGCATTGTCATGCTCCTGTTATGATTTGCTTATCTTTTCTTTTTATCTGTGCAACTCTATTGTCATCAAAATGAATTCGATACTTCGTAACTCTTGTTGCAAGCTTGTCATCTATAGACTTGAGAGCGTAAGTGTTATCTATTTTATCCTTCTATTTTTCTTCCGTTTAGAAGAATGAAAAACAATATTTTGGGTTTCATATCACATTACTAAATATTTCCCTTAGAAGATACTGAATTTGGTGTATATAGTCATTCAATCATGAAGAAATTCACTTACTTTATAACATAAAGATGTTTGAGTCGTATGGAATGCAGAAAATAAGATGAGATCAGTTGAAAAGGGTCTGCAGTACATAGAGCTTAATAGTGATTAGTGAGGCCCCTCTGATAATTGACGATTGCAGACCGCCAAACAACTGACCAACTGCTGGAACAATCATTTTCTAGAACTTACAGGTAAGTTGCTTCAGGTTTAGTTAAGTGAATAAAGATTTAGTCTTCTTCTTCGAATATGTACTTAAGAACAGAATATCATTGTGTGCATTTGATCTATACGTTAAAACATACTTCTTATGGTGCACCTTGCCACATTTTCAATAATTTATTTCATTCTCCATGGATTCTAGGAGGTTCATTGTGTTTAGGGGTGTGCTGTGAACGGTGCTGAGAATGAAGGTACCTAGGCTTTTTCTTTTTTCCTTTATTGAGATTATGAATGTTTGTTCTTTGATGATCTAACTTAATATATTGTCATATTATGCATGCTATTAATTGAAATGGTGTGAATCATAGAACTAACAGCTGATTGAATTAGTGTAATTTATTTTCATGTACCAATTAAGAGTAGCAAACAAAGTCTGTCTTTGATTTAGCTCTTCTGGTCTTAGTAGTGATGCAGGTTGAGCAGCTGGAAGCTAATTAGAATATGAGCCAAGTAATATTCACGTGGATTACATGTTAATTATTAACTTAGTTGAGTTATGTTGACCAAGAGTTGTGGTCAAAATTTTAGTGTTACTATTTAGACTATAAATATTAGTTTGGTGACTAAATAAAATGCGTTTTAGATCTTTTGATAAAGATAATTCTTGTTGAATTGATTTGTATAGCCTCTTATGATCACTTTGGTAATGTTGACCTGATTCTAATTAGTGATTTCCTTGTACAGTTTGTCCCTTGCGTATAGACAGCAAGGTCTGTACTACTTTATCTTCTCTGAGTTGTGTAATTTAATGATAACATATATTGACTTTGATGTCTTTATTTATTTCCCTAATGCATTTTAAATATGTTTGTTTGGTTTGCCGAAGTACCTTTTTTCCACAGGTTATAGATCATGAATTTCCAAACAATTTTGACAACTTTGTTCACCAATCCCTTGTGGCAAAACAAATCATTGCTGATATTGATACTACTGGACGTTGTTGCTGCCTATGCTTAACATTGCTACATGCTGCTGCCACTGCCTATGCTTGACGCTGCTGCTACTTCCTCTGCTTAACTTTAGTTGCTTCCTATGCTTGCTACTGTTCATGCATGGGGCTTTCTAAGCTAAAACAAGGTTCTAAATTAGTTATGAATGAGCACAATTCAGAATTATAACAGTTGTAACAGAAAACTCATTACTATGAAATATTGTACAAAAAAAATTTATGTGCAATAATACAGCTATTTTTGGCATAATTTTAAAGCATATATATGTATACGTTCTTTTTTGGTGATACTAGTAGAATAAATTGAATTTTTTTCGGGTGGAAAAAATATTCTGTACACTACATCTTTTTATAATGGGCTTGAAATAGAGAATCTTAATCAGAATAAATGGACAGAAAAAAGTGTCGATAAAATATATGTAACTATGGACAAAAAAAAAGCGTCGCCAATTTAATAATTTGGGACAAGAAAAAGCGTCACTAATTTTTAGAAAGTGCGCCAAATGTTGCAACTCGACGCTTCGTATAAAGATTTAGACACGAAAAAACGTCTAAATTGTCGACGCTTTTTGGTAACACGTGTTTTTCTCGACTCACGTTTTTTTTTTCGACGCTTTTTAAAGCGTCGAGAAAGAATTTTGCGACGCTTTAAAGCGTCGAAAATAAGCCTAAAAAGCGTCTTAAAATCACGGAAATTCTAGTGGAACTTTCTTGAATATTCTAGAAGACTATAATCAATCCTAATAGCTTTAGGATAGATAATTAATAATAGGCCCTCCTCTAGATCATTGGGTCGTAGGTAAAAACCAAACGGGCCAAGTTTAGTATTTTGGCCATAACTTCCTCATTATTCATCGGAATTAGATTTATAATATATCGTTGGAAAGGTTTTTTTAAACCCCATCCAACTACACCATTATTGGACCCTTATGATGGACTAAACTAAACTGGAATGCACGCTTTTCATAAATAAGGTAAGAAAAGAAATATTTTCAAAAACAGAAAGAATAGATATTTTAATAAAAACATCCTCATCACTAAACTTTTCACACTTTTGCTTTGTTCGATAATCAAGTGACATGAAAGTTATTCATCACTGGGTTTGGTTTTGGGGAGACACAAATGGGTGTCTACAGAAGCCCCCACTTTGACTCCGCTGGGGAGGATTTCTATTTTAATTCCTGAAATTTATTTCGGCAAAGATTTAGAATGAGTGGATGAGACTCGAAAAGTTCTAAGTATTTCATGCGTATAATTTGATTAACATTATTGTCATATGCATAAAAAAGATCTCATTGGAAAGAACATCCGTAATGAGTTAAAACATAGGATTTTTACACGTAGGAAATTTGAGGAATATCTTTCACAACTAGGATCAAAATAATGCTACGCGAAACTGGAAAATTTTATCGAGCACAGAAAGCTGCTGAGGCATGTAAGAACTAGCGTCAGGGAACAAAGTCTAGCGCCAACAATTTGACGTTAGCGCCAGGCGACAGCTTCTATTGCCAGGCGCTAAAGCCAAAAGGTGGCGCTGGACTATGTTTGCTGGCGCTAAGTTCTTCCAATACCGAGCCAGAAGTATGCGTTCTAATTTTGACCAGTTTTTAGCACTGTTTGCTCGATCCTACTTCCTGATTGAGTTTTTCTCACTTTTCTGAAACCCAAATGTGTTCTACATATGGACATAACCCTCTGGGAATTCATGCTCCATATACCTGATTGAACGCTCTAAGTAACAAAGGGTACATCCGAGAGTGTTGAATTCACCAAACCATGGAAGCGAGTTTTTCTAAACTCACGGTGTCCCATCCACTCGCGCCAACCCTTCACGGTTAGGCTTTCGCGTGGTGCATCCGGACAATTAACCATGTACCCTCTATTGACTAACCCATATCCCGAACTTTAGAGAACGAGCAGCGATTGCCTTGCTCCATGACATGATGCATAAAGAAGTTGACGTATATGTGGAAAATATGATTGTGAAGTCAAAAGATCGCTCAGGCCATCAAATAGCCTTGAGAAAATTCTTCAAAAAGCTAAGAAAATACAATATGAGGTTGAATCCATCTAAGTGTGCTTTTGGAGTCACCTCAGGCAAGCTTTTGGGTTATGTCATAAGCTCTAGAGGAATAGAGATAGACCCAGCCAAGATCAAGGCAATCATGTCAATGCCACCGCCCAAAACCGAGAAGCAAATTCGAGGATTCATTGGCCGGTTGCAATACATAAGCAGGTTCATATCAAAATTGACAACAATACGTGAACCAATTTTCAAAAAGCTTAAAAAGAATGTACCAGTAATATGGGATGACAAGTGTCAAAAAGCCTTTGAAAAGATCAAAGCCTATCTTGCAAATCCTCCCGTATTAACACCAGCACTTCCGGGAATACCTCTTAGGTTGTACTTAACAGTCACCAAAGAGACAATGGGAGCCATGCTAGCGCAAGAAGTAGAAGGCAAAGAAAATGCGATATGCTATCTAAGCAAAAAGATGCTCGAGTATGAAGTACGCTATACACCACTTGAGAAAGTGTGCCTCGCATTGGTGTGGGCCACAACCAAGTTAAGGCATTACATGATCGTGCATACAGTCTTTCTAGTTTCCCGATTAGATCCACTTAATTATTTATTCGAGAACTCTACACTCAATGGGCGCATATCAAGATGGATAGTCAACTTATCCCAATTTGACGTAAGATTCATGCCCCAAAAAGCTATCAAAGGATCTGTGGTTTCGAATTTTCTAGCAGACTTTCCAATAGAAGATTCGACGCCAATACACGACAATAAATTTCCAAACGAAGACTTGATGGTCACCGAAGACGATACATGGACCTTATACTTCGACGGAGCCCCAAAAGGGATGTGGAGTTGGAGTATTACTAGTATCACCTAAAGAAGAGCATGTTCCAATCTCCATAAAGCTTGATTTCGACGTTACCAACAACGCTGATGAATATGGTAGGCCTTGAAACAGCTTTGGCATTGAGGGTAAAAAAATTACGGATATTTGAAGACTCTTCATTGATCATCAATCAAATCTCTAAAAGATGGAAAGTAAGGAGCGAAAGCCTAGCCCCTTACCAAACTTATCTGGAAACTCTCACTAATCAGTTAGAGAAGGTGGAATACACGTATCTACCTAGAGAAGAAAATCAATTTGTTGATGCCTTGGAAAGACTAGCCTCAATGATTAGTATTCCTACGGAATTCGAGCAAATGCCTCTAACTATTGAGAAAAGGCACAAACCGGCTTATATTCAAGCCATAGAAGATGATGAAGTGATCCAAGAAGAAGAAGAAGAAGAAGAAGAAGAATCGTGGTATACGGATATACTCAACTATGCCACCAAAGGAGAATACCCTCCCCATACTGACAAAAGAGAAAAACGAGCATTAAGGCTCTTGGCTTCCCAATACGTACTCATAGACAACGAGTTACACAAAAGGGTACCTAAGGGTCGAGCTCTCTTATGTGTAGGAAAAAAGGATGCTCAAAGAGAAATGAGGATAGTCCACAAAGGAATTTGGGGAACTCACGTAAATGGCAAAATGCTAGTCCAAAAGATAATGCGAGAAGGATACTATTGGACTACCATGAATAGGGATTGTCATCAATACGTAAAAAGATACCCTAAGTATCAAATCTACGCCAATTTACACATGTTCCTCCATCTCTACTCTACACCTACACTTCGCCATGGCCATTCTCTACATGGAGAATTGACATCATTGGCAAAATCACTCCCCCAAAAACTCGCTTCCATGGTTTGGTGAATTCAACATTCTCGGATGTACCCTTTGTTGCTGAGAGCGTTCAATCAGGTAGATGGAGCATGAATTCCCAGAGGGTTATGTCCATATGTAGAACACATATGGGTTTCAAAAAAGTGAGAAAAACTGAACCAGGAAGTACAATCGAGCAAACAGTGCTAAAAACTGGTCGAAATTAGAACGCATATTTCTGGCTCGGTATTGGAAGAACTTGGTGCCAGCAAACAGAGTCCAGCGCCACCTTTTGGCTTTAGTGCCTGGCGATAGAAGTTGTCACCTGACGCTAACCTCAAATTGTTGGCGCTAGACTTTGTTCCCTGACGCTAGTTCCTACATGCCTCAGCAGCTTTCTGTGCTCGATAAAAATTTTTAGTTTCGCGCAGCATTATTTCGATCCTAGTTGTGAAAGATATTCCTCAAATTTCCTACGTGTAAAAATCCTATGTTTTTAACTCATTGCGGATGGTCTTTCCAATGAGATCTTTTTTATGCATATGACAATAATGTTAATCAAAATTACGCACATGAAATACTTAGAACTTTTCGAGTCTCATCCACCCATTCTAAATCATTGCCGAAATAAATTTCAGGAATTAAAATAGAAATCCTCCCCAATGGAGTCGCCAAAAAACTATAGGGAAAATTTCAAGCATTATCCCTAGCTTGAACCCCACTGTGATCATACACTAAAGTACGGTGGCGTCCAAAGGGAAAGAATATAGAGCAAAAGAGTCGCCAACAAGTTTTAGGAACTTGTAAACCGTTCACGAGGTGAAGGTTACACCCCTTAACGATTCAGGAGATCGTCAACTCCAATAGGTCTGGAACCATGACTGGTAGTTCGGGGATGAAGGTACAAATCCAACCAAAAAGAGATTGAACCTGCCCTAATAATAGGCCTCTACTTTATTCTGATCGTATTCATGTGCACTTTCTAGCTAACATGCAATCAATAGGTTTACCCTAAACCTGTTTAATCTATGTTGGTTGAATATTAATGCACAAATAAAACTATTATTGGCGATCACTTGAATTATAATCAAATTAACTCTAAATAAGATTATTAATTATCTTATTAAGCGTGATTACAAGTACAAATTCCCTTTAAACATGCATAAAAGGCGTGATCAAGCAATAACAATAATAATCATCAAGCAACATAATCATAACAATAACAATTATAATCATAATTATAATAATAATTATAACAATTATAAATATTAATAATTAAAATAATCATGTTCATGTTAAAGCATAATAATAGCAAGATCCTAGGCATGATACTAACAAGATTAATAACAAACCCTAGCATGTCACTAAACAATAAAAATCAAAGCTTTAGCCCTAACATGATACTACACTACCACAAAATAGGGAATAAGTAACACATAATATACAACGGTCAAGTTGCATATGCGATCTCTAGAATTATATAGATCGCCTATGTAAGATAGGCGCTTTGTATGTTA